ATTCGTTGACATTAGTCATGCCGGTGCCCACAAAAATATTAGGCCAGTCTTTAGTGGGATTGGATTTTGTATTATGATATGTGAAATGGGCTGTAAAACGGGATAGGGGTCCAGATCTGTTAGTTAGTAACTGGTCTAATTGGGTGATAGACAGCTCAGGCATCGGATTGATGGGAACATTATTCCTGATGATTGGAGTAATGGGGCCGACATATGGGTGGTCTTGGAGGTGGTCGCCCACTGGGAGGTCAGCTTTTAATGGTATACCGAATTGATTTAAATGGTCTTTTGGTCCAATTCCGGACAGCATTAGAAGTTGTGGTGAATTAATAGTCCCTTAAAATATAATTAATTAAAATTCAATATCTATGAAATTTATATGAATCTATTATACCTCCACTTATAATGATTTCCTTTTTAGCCATTACTTGATATGTTTTGCTATTTTTGTCGAATTGAACGCCAGTTGCTCTCAGATTATACGGATTATCATAGAATAATATTTTGGTGACAAAAGCATTGGTCAAAATGTGTAAATTATTTGGGTGTGGGTTGGGGTCGATGTATGCGTTTCCAGTACTCGACCGCAAACCCGTATTACTATCAATGAAGTTCTGTATGATGGTTGTCCCCACCTGTTTGGGTCCGTTCACGTCAATGGTTTCAAATCCGAGTTCATTCATTGCTTTTAAATACAACTGAAATATCGGCTGTGGGTTTAGATCCGATGATATGCCTACCGGTCCTTTCGTTCCGTGATAACCAGGGTTTTTGCTGACCACTCGCATATCACTGTTATTTTCAGATTTCATGAAATAAGGCAACACTTCATCAAAACTCCATCCCTTAGCGCCGTAAGTGTAGGCCCAGTCGTCATAACTCCTACGGTTTCCTCTGTTATATATCATAGCGTTTATAGAGGACGAGCCGCCTATTACCCGACCTCTGCTGAGGGGTACCCGTCCATTGTTAGCCATTGCGTAGTTTTGTTGAGGGACTGTCTGGTAGCCCCAGTCTATGTCACTACCCAATAGGCCTATCCATGTCACCGGTATATCAGTGGTCAGGGTTTGCGGACCCCCGGCCTCCAGAAGCAATACATTGATGTTTGGGTTTTCGGTTAGTCTGTTGGCTACTACAGCGCCGGCAGATCCGGCGCCCACCACAATGTAATCGTAGCTATCATACCACGAGTTTCTTTTGTTGAGCTGATTATGGCTTAACTGTCGCTGAAGTATCAGTATTGAGACAGTTATCAATTGGATGTTTAAACTCATTGAATAATGATTACAATAACAAACAAAAAAGAAAAATGATTTTTAATGTTAAAAATAAAAAGACAAAATGAAGAATTTGAAAAATAAAAATATAATTTTGTTTGATTAGCCCATAATTAATAACCCCCATGTGGTATAATTGAATTAATTGATTTCTATTTGTATCCAATATACAGTGTAAATATTATGTATTTTAAGTTATAATTTATAACATGACTTGAGTTGATGACTTTATTTATACTATTTATGTATACATTAAATACCGTAAATATAGACTCTATTTATAGTGCTTGTAATTATAAATTGAAATTTATTGTAATTATAATGTCTCGCCAAAAGGGTTAAACTTTAATGTTAAAAATATATGTTAGAACCAAGCTAGATT